GGGAAAAAATTTTTTTGGAGAAAAAAAGCAAAAAAGGGGGGGTTTTGCCCCGGGGTAAAAAAAATTTTGGGGAAAGGGGAGCTAAAAAAATTTTTTAAAAAAAAGGGGGAAAAAATAAAGGGTTTGGGGGAAAAAAAAAAAGAAAAAAAAAGCAGAAGGGGAAAAAAAAAAAAGGGGGGGGGGAAAGGGGGGAAAAATTAAAAAAACCGTAGGGGGGAAAAAAAAACCCCCCGAGGGAAAAAAAAAAAAATTAAATTTTTAAAAAAAGCAGAAGGGGGGGGAAAAAAAAAAAAAAAAAAAAAAAAGGGGGAAAAAAGGGAAAAAAAAAAAGAGGGAAAAACCCCGTTTGGGGCCCCAAAAGGGAAGGGAGAAAAAAAGCAAGGGGGGGAAAAAGGGGGGGGGGTTTTTTAAAAAAAAGGGGGTTTTTCCCGCCGGGGGGGCATTAAAAGTAGAGCAGTTGGGGAAAAGGGGGGGAAAAAAAAAACCCCCCCCAAAAAAAGGGGGAGGTTTTTTAAAAAAAAAAAAGGGGGGAAAAAAAAAGGGGGGTTTTTTAAAAAAAAGGAAAAACCCTTTTTTTTAAAAAAGGGAAAAAAGGGAAAAATTTTTTAAAAAAAAAAGCCGGAGGGGAGGGTTTAAACAGTTTAAAAAAAAAGGGGGGGGGAGGGGGGTAGGCCCCGGTTTTTTAAAAAAAAAGGGGGGGCCGTAAAATTTTAAAAAAATTTTTAAAAAAAAAAAGGGGGAAAAAACAGAGATGAAAAAGAAGCAGGGGGTTTTGGCATTTTTTTAAAAAAAAGGGGGGGGGGAAAAAAAAAAAAGGGGAAAGAAAAGCAGTAAAAATTTTTTTCAATTAAAAAGGGGGGTAGGGTAAAAATTTGGGGGGAAAAAAAAAAGGGGAAAAAAAAGAAGGGGGAAAAAAAAGGGGGAAAAATTTTTAAAAAAAAAAACCCCAAAAAAAATTTTTTTTAAAAAAATTTTTTTCAGAAAAAGAAAGAGTTTAAAAAAAAAAAAGGGGGAAAAAAAGGGGAAAGGGGGGGCCCGGGGGGGGAAAAAAAAAGGGGAAAAATTTTTGCAACATTAAAGTAAAAAAAATTTTTTAAAAAAAAAAATTAACCCCCTTTTAAAAAGGGGGAGTAAGGGGAAAAAAAAGGGGGAGCAGTAACCCAAAAAAACCCCCTTTTTTAAAAAAAAAATTTAAAAGGGGGGGGGGCCCCCCCGTTGTAAAAGCAAAAAATTTTTTAAAAATTTCCAAAAAACCCTTTTTAAAAAAAAAAAAAAGGGGGGAAAAAAACCCGGGGGGGGGAAAAAAAAAAGGAAAAAAAAAACCCCCGGAGTTTTTTAAAAAAGGGGGGAAAAAAAGCAAAAAGGGGGAAAAAAAGCAGTAGGAACAAAAAGCAGAGGGGGGGGTAACCAAAAATTTTAAAAAAAAAAAGATTTGGCAGTAAGGGGGAAAAAAAGGGGTTTTTTTTAAAAAAAAAAATAAAATCATTTTTAAAAATTTCCCAAAAAAAAAAAAAAAGGGGGGAAAAAAAAAAAAAACCGTAAAAAGGGGGGGGAAAGCAGTAAAAACCCGCAAAAAAAAAGGGGGGGGGGAAAAAAACAGTTTTGGGGGAACCCAGTATGTAGAGCAGAAAAAAGAGGGGTTTTTGTAGACAGTAACAAAAAAAAAACCCAATTTAAAGAACCGAAAAAAAAAACAGTAAAAAACCCGAGAAAGGGGGGGAAAAAAAAAAAGGGAAACAGAGGGAAAGGGGGGCCCGTAAAATTGGGAAAAAAGCAGTAAAAAGAAAAAAGGGGGGGGGAAAAAATTTGTAGAGCAAAGCCTTTTAGGTTTTTGGGGGAGGGGTTTTTTTTTAAAAAAAAAAAAAAGGGATGTAAAAAAAAAAAAAAAAAAATGTAGAGCAGTAAAATTTAAAAAAAATTTTGTATTAAAAAATTTTTGGGTTTCAGCAGTAAAATTTTTTTTTTAAAAAAAAAAAAAACAGCATTTTAAAAAAGGGGGAATTTTTAAAAAAAAGGGGGGGAAAAAAAAAGGGGGGAAAAAATTTTAAAAAAAAGATTTAAAAATTTTTTTTTTAAAAAGGGGGCCCCAAAAAAAACCCAAAAGGGGGGGGGGGGGTTTTGGAAGGTATGTTAAAAAAAAAGGGGGGAAAAAAGAAAGGGAAAAAAAAAAAATTTTTAAAACAGGGGTTTTTTAAAAAAAGGGAAAAAAAAATTTAAAAACCCCCCCTTTTTTAAAAAAAAAGGGAAGGAGAAACCGGGAGGGCAAGGGATTCAACCCCAAAAAAAAACCTTAAAAAAGCCCCAAAAAAAAAAAAAAGAGCAGAAGGGAAAAAAAATTTTAAAGGGGAGCAGTATGTAAGGGCCCCCCGGGAAAAACCCCTTTTTAAAAAAAAAGGGGGGGAAAAACCCGCAGTATTTGGGCAGTAACAGCAATTTTGACAGATTGTTTGGGGAAAGCATTTTTTAAAAATAAAAAAGGGGGAAAATTTTGTAGAAAAAAATTTTTAAAAAAAAAAGGAAAAAAGGGGGTTTTTTTAAAAAAAAAAAAAAAGGGGGTTTGCAGCGGGGGGGGTTTTTTGTAACAAAAATTTAAAAAAAATTTTGGGGAAAAAAAATTTAAAAACCCGGGAAAAAAAAGGGGGGGGGGGATTTTTGGAAAAAAATTTTTAAAGCCCAAAAAATTTGGGGTTTTGGGGGGAGGAAAAAAATTTTTTTTCAATTTTGGGGGGCCCCCGGAGGGAAAAACCCCCCCCCCCCAAAAAAACCGGAAACCCTCCCCCTTGTTGGGAAACCCCCAAAAGGGGGACCCCGGGGGAAAAAAAGGGGGGGAAAAATTTTAACCCGGGGTTTTTCCCAAAAGGGGGGGGCCCCCCAAAAAAAAAAAAAAAAACCCCCAAAAAAATTTCCCCCCCGGCCCAAAAAAAACCCCCCCCCCCGGGGGGGGGGAAAAAACCCCAAAGGGGGGGGGAAAAAGAAAAAAAACCCAAAAATTTCCCTTGGTTTTTTAAAAACCCCCCCCCGGAACCTTTCCCAATTTCCCCCCCCAGGGTTTTTCCCCCCCAAAAAAACCCCCCCCCCACCCGGGGGTTTTAAAAACCCCCCCAAAGGGGTTTTTTTTTCCCCCCGGGCCCCCTTTTCCTTTTTTTTCCCCCCCTTTTTTTTTTTTTTTTTCCCCCCCCCTTTAAACCCGGCCCCCCCCTTTTAAAAACCCCCCCTTTTTTTTAAAAAAACCCCCCCCCAAACCCCCCCCAAACCCCCCCCCGGAAAAACCCCCCCGGCCCCCACCCCCAAAAACCCCCCTTTTTCCCCCCCCCAAAAACCCCCCCTTTTGGGGGCCCCGGGCCCCCCCCCTTTTTTTTCCCCCCCTTTTTAAAAAAACCCCCCCCCCCCAAAAAACCCCCCCAAAAAAAAAAAAAACCCCCCCCCCCCCCCCCCCCCCCCCCAAAAAAAAACCCCGGAAAACCCCCCCGGGGGTTTTTTTTAAAAAAAACCCCCCCCCCCCCCCCCCCCGGAAAACCCCCCCCCCCCCCCCCCCCCGGGCCCCCCCCCCTTTTTTTTAAAAAAAACCCCCCCCCCCGGCCCGGGTTTTTTTAAAAAACCCCCCCCCCAATTTTTTTAAAAAAAACCCCCCCCCCCCTTTTTTCCCCCCCCCCCCCCCAATTTTTTGGCCCCCCCCCCCCCCCGGGGGGCCCCCCCCCCCCCCCCCGGGGTTTTTAAAAAAAAACCCCCCCCCCCCCAAAATTTTGGCAAAAAAAACCCCCGGCCCCCCCCCCCCCAAAAATTTTTTTTTCGCCCCAAACCCCCCCCCCAAAATTTTTCCCCCCCCCCCCGGAAAAACCCCCCCCCCCCCCCCTAAAAAAACCCCCCCCCCCCCCCCTTTTTTTTTTTTTCCCCCCCCCAAAAAAAGGGCTAATTTTAAAAAAAACCCCCCCCAAAAATTTTTTGGCCCCCCCCCCGGACCCAAATTTTTTTTAAAAACCCCCCCCCCCCCCTAATTTGGGCCCCCCCCACCCAAATTTTTTTCCCCCCCCCCCCAAACCCGGCCCCGGGGGGAAAAAAACCCCCCCAAAACCCGGCCCCTTTTTCCCCCCCCCCCCCAAAAACCCCAATTTTTTAAAAAACCCCCAAAAAACCCCCTTTTTTAAAAACCCCCCCCCTTTACCCTAGGGTTTTTTTTTTCCCCCCCCCCCCCCCTTTTTCCCCCCCCCCCCCCCCTTTTTTTTAAAAACCCCCCCCCTTCCCCAAAAAATAGGTTTTTTTAAAAACCCAAAGGCCCCCAAAAAAAATTTAAAAACCCCCCCTTTTTTTTTTTTTCCCCCCCCCGGGGGGGGTTTTTTTCCCCCCCCGGGGGGGGGGGGGCCCCCCCCCCCCCCCCCCCTTTTTTCCCCCCCCCAACCCCCCCCCTTTTCCCAAAAGGTTTGGGGGAAAATTTTCCCCCCCCCAAAAAAAAACCCCCCCAAAAAAATTTTTTTTTTGGGGAAAAAAAACACCCCCCCCGGGAACCGGGTTTGTTTGAACACCCACCCACCGGCCCTAGGTTTTTTTTTTAAAAAACCCCCCCAACCCCACCGGGAAAACCCCCCCCCGGGGTTATTTTTTAAACCCCACCCACCTGCCCCTAGGTCTACTTTTTTAGAAACCCCACCCCGGACACCTGGTAATGTTTAAAACACCTACCTGGTCTACTGTTAGAACACCCCCCAGGACACCTAGGTCTTCTGTTTAGAACACCCACCCACCTGGACACGGTCTACTGTTTAGAACACCCACCCACCTGGACACCTAGGTCTACTGTTTAGAACACCCACCCACCTGGACACCTAGGTCTACTGTTTAGAACGCCAACCCACCTGGACACCTAGGTTCTACTGTCTAGAACGCCAATCCACCTGGACACCTAGGTCTACTGTCTAGAACGCCAACCACCTGAGACACACAGGATAGCTTGTTAGTTTCAAGCGTACCATACAGTACCTCAGAAAAAAGGTTTGAATTACACAATGACTCTTGGGAGGTGCCCGAGAATTAGTTTTCTTTTTTACTTTTGTAGTGGGGCCCGACAGCTTTTCATGCCCGTTGCCTCATTCACGGGGGGGCCCGCGATAGGCCGCCGTGCTCGGCCGCCGTGCTCCTGCCTTTCACATGCCATTTTCCTCACACAGCCCACCCGCCCTTCTCCCGACCGGCTGCCAGTTGGAGGCAAGATGTTCTTCCAGCGTCAAGCCAGCAGCCTACTCCATCACCACTTTATATATTATATCATTATTTAACCTACATTGGATGCCATTGAAAAAAGTACTTTCAATTATTATTACACACAATACCCCATAATGACAAAGCGAAAACAGGTTGTAATTTTAACATAGGTATTCAGACCCTTTGCTATGAGACTCGAAATTAAGCTCCGTTGCATCCTGTTTCCATTGATCATCTTTGAGATGTTTCTACAACCTGACAGAGCTTGAGAGGATCTGCAGAGAAGAATGGGAGGGGAACTCCCCAATTCAGGTTTGGGCAAGCTTGTAGCGGTCATACCCAAGAGTCGAGGCTGTAATCGCTGCTAAAGGTGCTTAAAAAGTACTGAGTAAAGAGTCCTGATACTTATGTAGGAGTGGTAATTCCGTGTTTTATTTTTATACATTTGCAACAATTTCTAAAAAATGTTTTGCACTTTGTCATTATGGGGTATGTGTGTGGAGTGATGGGGTGGGGTGCTTATTGGTTATGGGGGTGGGGTGCCTTATTTGGTTATGGGGGTGGGGTGCCTTATTTGGTTATGGGGGTGGGGTGCCTGATTGGTTATGGGGGTTGGGTGCCTGATTGGTTATGGGGGTGGGGTGCCTTATTTGGTTATGGGGGTGGGGGGCCTGATTGGTTATGGGGGTGGGGTGCCTGATTGGTTATGAGGGGGGGTGCCTTATTTGTTATGGGGGTGGGGTGCCGATTGGTTATGGGGGGTGGGGTGCCTTATTTGGTTATGGGGGTGGGGTGCCTGATTGGTTATGGGGGTGGGGTGCCTGATTGGTTATGGGGGTGGGGTGCCTGATTGGTTATGGGGGTGGGGTGCCTGATTGGTTATGGGGGTGGGGTGCCCAGCCTCCCCTAGCCCCCATGTAATTCTAACTGAAAACCTTTTCTAGTGGCTTTCATTGCGAGATATTCCCAGCCGGGTCTCCCTAATGTTGGTGTGTATGTAAATAGTGTTGTGATATTAATGATGTCCTGTTGTGTAGAGCAGTCTGTCAGTGTGTTGGACACAAGCTGTGCTGCCTGGGTAGGACGGGCCGTGGGGGGGGATAATCTGGCCGCAGGGCTGGATCACGTGTCGACAGCGTGGTGGTTTGTGTGTGTTGTGTGTGTGTGTGTGTGTGTAGCGCGTGGCGTCTTACCCCGGGGCGGCAGGGGTTACAGAAGGGGAAAGAATTACCCCCAGGTTCTCCTAACGCAGGAGGTGTGTGTGTGTGTGTGTGTGTGGTGTGTGTGTGGGTGTGAGTCCTAAGGCAACGCAGTAGAACATGTTCTGACTGCTGATTGGTTACTGGTCCCAGAGGGAATGCCGCGTGCAGTGCATTGTGGGCCAGCACTGTGAGGAGGAATGCGTCCCAAATGGCGCCCTATTACCTACATAGTGCACTGTTTTTGACAGGGGCCCATTGGATTGTAGTGCACTGTTTTTGACAGGGGCCCATTGGATTGTAGTGCACTGTTTTTGACAGGGGCCCATTGGATTGTAGTGCACTGTTTTTGACAGGGGCCCATTGGATTGTAGTGCACTGTTTTTGACAGGGGCCCATTGGATTGTAGTGCACTGTTTTGACAGGGGCCCATGGATGTAGTGCAATGTTTTTTGACAGTGGGCCCATTGGATGTAGCACTAATTTTGACAGGGGCCCATTGGAGTTGTAGTGCCTGTTTTGACAGGGCGGCCATTGAGATTGTAGTGCAACTGTTTTTGACAGCAGGGCCAGTGGCTTGTAGTACAATGTTTTTGGACGGGCGCCCATTGCGTTTAGTGCACTGTTTTTTGACAGGGGCCATTGGATGTAGTGCACTGTTTTTGACAGGGGCCATTTTGGGTTGTAGTGCTGAACTGTGTAGTGGATAGGCAACATTTTGGTACGTTACCACTGTGCCACTCTCATTATTACCATAAATATTTTCATCAGAATTACAGAAAATGAAGTGTTCTAGTCCGAGACGGAAGAGGAAGTGAGACGTCCAACTCCCTCATTTATTTTCCGTTTCATTGAAAGTCAATGACTAAGTAGACAGATCAGATGCTATTTAATGTTGTAATGGAGAGACACCCCTTAAGGAGACAAAACTGCCATTATTTCCGGTGGTAAATGGCCCCCAGGGAACGAAACTTATTTATCCACCCTCTTTGGTTTTTGTTTTGGGTTTGAAAAAACACTGAAAAAAACCTTTTTTTTAAAAAGTATCCTTTATTTAAAGCCCCTTTTTCTTAGCCACTTCCTCGAAATTTGGCCAAAAATATTTTATGCAAAATTTTCTAAAATTGCCCCAAACCTGAGAGGTTTTTTTATTTTTGGGGGGGTCCATCCCCTTTTACGGGCGCGGGCCCAAAAACCAAATTTCCCTTGAGGGGAATTTTGAATGGTACATGCATGGGGATTTTTGGGGTAAGTTTTCAGATTTTTTTCAAGATGTTTTTTGAAAGAGAAATAATTTAAAAACAGTTTTTTTTTTAAAACGTTTTTTCCTTGGGTTTTGGGGTCAAAGGTTTTTTCTCCAGCCAGAAAACAACAGGGGACGTTTTTATGGGGTTTTTTGGGGAGTGGAGGGGGACAGGGCCCCTCAACGCGGAAAAAAAACTAATGGACCCGTTGGAACAGAATGTCAAAAACCTCAGGGCAGCAAGGTTTGGGCCCTAAAAACCCCCCCAACCCCCCCTTTGGCCCCCTCCCTTCCCCCCAAAAACCCCCCTTTCCCCCTTAAACCCTAACCCCTAACCCTTTTGCCCCCCCAACCCCTACCCTTAGCCCCCCTAACCCCTACCCGTTTAACCCCCCTCCCCCTCTAAAACCCCCCCATAAACCCCCCTTTTGCCCCCCCCCTCTTTAAACCCCCACCCTTAGCCCCCCCCCCCCCCTCCCCCAAACCCATTTTCCCCCCCTTTTTGCCCCCCCCTCTCCCCCCTTACCCCCTTCCGGGCCCCTACCCCCTAAAACCCCTTTCCCCCCCCTTTAGCCCCCCCCCCTATTTAACCCAATTATTTAACCCCTTTTAGCCCCTTCCCCTCCCTTTAAAACCCCTTAACCCCAACCCCCCGCCCCTTCCCTCCCCAAACCCCCACCCCCCCTTAAAACCCCCCTACCCCCCCCTAACCCAAACCCCCTAAAGCCCCTCCCTCCCCCCCAAACCCACCCCACCCCCTTAGCCCCCTTCCCCCCCCTTCCCCCCCTAACCCCTACCCCTTTTCCCCTCCCCCTCTAAACCCCTTTCCCCTTTACCCCCCCTTCCCCTCCCCAAACCCCCCCTAAACCCCCTTTAGAACCCCTCCCTAAACCCCCCCTACCCCCCCCTTTCCCCCCCCCCTCCTTTTAAACCCCCTTAAACCCCCAAATGGTTTGCCCATCCCAAATTTCCCCCCCCCAACCCCAACCCCCCCTTACCCCCCCTACCCCATCCCCCATAAAACCCTTGCCCTACCAATAGGCCCCGGCCCCCGTTACCCCATACCCCCCTACCCCGGCCCCTTTCCCCCCCCTGTTTCCCCCTACCCCCTAGCCCTTTCCCCCCTCCCTTTAACCCCCCCATCCCCTAACCCCCCCCTTTCCCTACCCCCCCACCCCCCTTACCCCCTACCCCCCATCCCCCTATTTCCCCTACCCCCCCCCCTAACCCATAGCCCTTACCCCCCCCCTTACCCCCCCTTTTCCCCCATTTTTTTTCCCCCCTTCCCCCCCAAGCCCCCCCCCTTTCCCCCCCCTTTTAAACCCAAAAAAGCCCTTACCCCCCAACCCCAAATTTTTTGCCCCCAAAACCCCCCCCATAAAAACCCCCCTTTTCCCATACCCCCCCATAGCCCCCCATTAACCCCCCCCCTTTTAACCCCCTAGGCCCTTACCCCCTAAACCCCCCACCCCTAGACCCCCCCCCTTACCCCATAACCCCCACCCAACCCACCCCCCTAAAGCCCTTAACCCCCAACCCCCCCCAATTTAGCCCTTACCCCCCCACCCCATTAAGACCCCACCCCTTAACCCAAAAAGCCCTTTTAAACCCCATTCCCAACCCCCCCCCAAAAGGGAAACCCCCACCCCTTGCCTTACCCCCCCCAAAACCCCCCCATACCCCTTTCCCCCCAAATACATTAAAGGGGCCCCCCCAAACCCCCTAATTTCCCCTTTCCCCCCCCCTTGACCCCCCTCCCCTACCCCATACCCCCCTTAACCCCCCTTTCCCCCTACCCCCTTGGCCCCCTAAACCCCATTTCCCCTAGTTAAATTTAACCCCCCCCAAAGGCCCCCCTTCCCCCCCCTATTTTGAACCCGGGCCTCCCAAAAGGCCACCCAAAACCCGCCTTCCCACAAAATTTAACCCCACTTATCATGCCCAGGGTAACGGGTTTTTTTTTATGAAAGGCTTTGGCTTTAAGGGCAAAAGATCCAAAAAACCTTTTCCCCTTTTATTTTAAAGGGATTATTGCCACCCAAAACCCAAAAAATAGAAAACTCTAGGGGCCCTTTTCTCTGTTTTTTTTTAGGGGGTTTTCCCGGAACCCCAAAAAATTTTTTTTTTAAACCCATTCTGGACTAAAAAACCCCTTTCAAAGGAGATTTGACGTGCGTTTTTTTTGTCCGGAGATTAAGTAAAGGAAAAATCCCGGGGGAAAAAAGTCTTTAAATGTTTTCCATTTTAAAAATTTGTAATTTTTTATTTTTTGGTTTTTTTTAATTTTCCCCAAAATATGGGGGTTCGGGTTACTTTAAAACCCGATTTTAAAAATTTTTGAAAAAAAAATCAAAATAAATGTGTTTAGTGATTTAAAAGCACCAAAAAAAAACCTTGGGCCCCTACAATGCCCAAAATAAGGTTTAACTTTTATAGACCCGATAAAAGATTTTTTTTTTTAGTTCCAAAGTGGATAATTTCCTTTTTGCTTTTTTCTTTTGGGCTTATTTGAAGGGGGATTGGTTTGAGTTGATTTTAAATTTTAGGGGTCCTTCCCCCCCTTTTAAAAGGCGGTCTCAAAAAGGGGGAAAAGGGGAGCCAAAACGGGGGAAAAGGAAAAAAAGGGGAAAAAAACAGCCAAAAGAAAGGAAGGGGGGAAGAAAGGGAAAAGGAGCCAAAAAAAGGGTAGGTCAGAAGAAAGGAAGGAGTAAAGGGGAAAGGGGGGGGGAGAGGGGGAAAAAGAAAGGGGGAAAAAAAGAAGGAGAAAAAAGGGGGGGGAGAAAGGGGGGAAGAAGGGGGGGAAGAAGGAAAGAAAAGGGGGGAAAAAAGAAGGGGGGGAAAGGGGAAGGGGGGAAAAAAGAGGGGAAGGCCGGTAGAAGGGGGGGGAAAAGATAAAGGAAAGGGGGGGGAGGGGTGGGGGGTTTTCATGAAGGGGGGAGGGAAAGGGGAAGGGGGAGGGGGGAAGCCCAAAAACTAAAAAATTTAAACAAGGGGGATATATATTTTTCTTATTTTTCTATTATATCTAAACTATATATATTTTTTTAAACCTCGGGCCTGTATATTCCCCTATACTTGTTTGCTATAAAATATCTTCCCCTACCTATGAAGATATGATAGTCGGGATAAAGGGAGATAAGCTTTAAATTCTCTATTCTTCTCTTCGGTTATGTTTTCCCCTTTTCTCTATTATCTTATCCCCTTGTTTTCCTTCTCTTTTGATCTCCTCTTCTCTATTATCAACTATTCCCCGATAATTTTTCATATCTTTATCCCCTCTAAAAAACTTATTCCCCTTTTCTCCTCCTCCTCTCTCCTCGTTTTCTCTCCCCACCTTTTTATATCCCGGAAGCCGGTTTTCCCAAAATGGCTGGGTCTCCCGTTTGGGGAACGCAGGGCCCCCGGGCTGCCAGTCCCGTTTGTCTTCAGAGAAACCCCTTAAAATTTGGGTGGTGGGTCTTGAGGGGGGGGGGTACTGTACACACCTCTACACACACACACCCACACCGGTCACTAGTGGATACTTCTTTAGTACCATAGTGGATATCTCAGAACACATTACAGCAGCACCTATCTATCCAGATGTTTACCATAGAGGTTTTTTTGTTTTTTTTGGAGAAAGGTGGGAATTTTGATGGAAAGGGGGCCCCGCCTTTAGGTAAAAAACAGGTTTTAAAAGTAGGTGACAACCAGACCAGAACACATTGTCTGCTGTCTCCGTGTTAATCTGTGTTTTATTCTCCTTTGTTCAGATGTACTCGTCGAATGGAGTGTAGTCGTGAGGGCCAGGCCAACCACTGGCTATGGAGCTACCAGCCTGCCAACCAGCCTGCCAACCAGCCTGCCAACCAGCCTGCCAACCAGCCTGCCTCCCAGTGTGTGACTGTCCAGAGCTTGGAGCCTGCCATCCAAAGCAGAGAGGAGGAGACTCAGGTGGGTAGAACTGTGGGATTATAGTATAGAATAAAAGTAGGGAACTCCAAATATTGTTCATCTACCTGCTGTTGTTGATTCAGGAAAATCAGTGTCTGATTTAGACCTGACAAACCAGGTGACTTCTCTAGCTAATCATTAAAACTACCACATTAACTCATGCCATGTGTTTACTCCAGAAATGGATCAATTAAGTGTCATTCTGGAGTAAAAAAACATGGCATGAGGTGATATGTAGAAACAGGGTGAGACTCACTGTAGTAAAACTCAATGGAGAAGAAAAAGTGACTCTACGTCAGGATAATCCAAACATAGTTCAGTTAACGTTCGTTGTTGTATCCTCTCCCAGGTTTCTCTTGTAGTGGCCCAGCTGCCCACCCTGTCAGAGGAGGAGTCTCTGACCTGCTCCTTCGGAACCCTCCCCCCTCAACCAGCTGTCGTCACGGGAACCACCATAACCTGTCAATCACCTCTGCCTGAGCTCCTCCCACCCAGCCCACCAGGAAGTGGTAGGCGGACATTTTATTTAATTAGTTTTATATCTGTAAATATTATTTTTTAGATAATTGATTATTTATCCAGGTAGGTTGTTGAGATTACAATACCATGAGAGACTTAGACGACCAAGACAGCCATGCTTGTATCACATTACTAGATTTATTTTGATCAGTTGTGAGTCACGGCCAGTTGCTTTGTGCCAAACTTAGACCCCGGCCTTGACAGCAAATAAATAAAGTTATAGCCAAGTTTAGGTACAGTACCTTACCCCCTACCCCATAGGACACCTGCTCGTCAAACATCTCATTCCAAAATCATGGGCATTAATATGGAGTTGGTCCCCCCTTTGCTGCTATAACAGCCTCCACTCTTCTGGGAAGGCTTTCCACTAGATGTTGGAACATTGCTGCGGGGACTTGCTTCCATTCAGCCACAAGAGCATTAGTGAGGTCGGACACTGATGTTGGGCGATTAGGCCTGGCTCACAGTCAGTGTTCCAATTCATCCCAAAGGTGTTCGATGGGGTTGAGGTCAAGGCTCTGTGCAGGCCAGTCAAGTTCTTCCACACCGATCTCGACAAACCATTTCTGTATGGACCTCGCTTAGTGCACGGGTGCATTGTCATGCTGAAACAGGAAAGGGCCTTCCCCAAACTGTTGCCACAAAGTTGGAACCACAGAATGTTTTAGAATGTCATTGTATGCTGTAGCGTTAAGATTTCCCTTCACTGGAACTAAGGGGCCTAGTCCGAACCATGAAAAACAGCCCCAGACCATTATTCCTCCTCCACCAAACTTTACAGTTGGCACTATGCATTGGGGCAGGTAGCATTCTCCTGGCATCCGCCAAACCCAGATTTATCCATCGGACTGCCAGATGGTGACGCTTGAGAACGCGTTTCCACTGCTCCAGAGTCCAATGGCGCAAGCTTTACACCACTCCAGCCGACGCTTGGCATTGCACGTGGTGATCTTAGGCTTGTGTGCAGCTGCTCGGCCATGGAAACCCATTTCATGAAGCTCCCGACGAACAGTTATTGTGTAGACGTTGCTTTCAGAGGCCGTTTGGAACTCGGTAGTGAGTGTTGCAACTGAGGACAGACAATTTTTACGCGCTTCAGCACTTCAGCACCTGTTCTGTGAGCTTGTGTGGCCTACCACTTCGCAGCTGAGCCGTTGTTGCTCCTAGACGTTTCCACTCCACAATAACAGCACTTACAGTGGACCGGGGCAGCTCTAGCAGGGCAGAAATTTGACAAACTGACTTGTTGGAAAGGTGGCATCCTATGACGGTGCAAGTCACTGAGCTCGTCAGTAAGGCCATTCTACTGCCAATGTTTGTCTATAGAGATAGCACGGCTGTGGGCTCGATTTTATACACCTGTCAGCAACGGTTGTGGCTGAAATAGCCGAATCCACTATTTGAAGGGGTGTCCACATACTGCTGTGTATATAGTGTCTCTCTATTAGAATATAGTATATATAGTGTATACCATATAGCAATCTATACATACTTACAGCAAGGATTTATTACTGTAAGGATCAGATCATGTTCGAAAGGAACATAATCAGAGTTCAAATCAATCACATTTTATTTCTCACTTGCTTCGTTAACAACAAGTGTAGACTAACAGTGAAATGCTGACTGACGGGTCTGACGGGTCTGGTCCAACGCAGAGATAAAGATGAAAAGACATGAACAAATATAAATAGTGAAACGAGGAATAAATACAAAATAAATAACATCAACGAGGAAAAAAATAACACGGCTATATACAGGGAGTACCAGTACCGAGGCGATGTGCAGGGGTATGAGGTAATCCTTAATAGTTTTCAAGCCCTGCCACATCCGACGAGCGTCAGAGCCGGTGTAGTACGATTCGATCTTAGTCCTGTATTGACTCTTTGCCTGTTTGATGGTTCGTCGGAGGGCATAGCGGGATTTCTTATAAGCGTCCGGGTTAGAGTCCCACTCCTTTAAAGCCTTTTTGCTTTATGCTGCGGATGTTGCCTGTAATCCATGGCCTCAGTGGAATTCCAGACTAACTCGTCATTAGCAGCCGATAAGATCCACAAATGTGGGAATTACCCCAGAGCATCCGTAAATCGCTCTGGCCCTGGAGCTAGCAAGAGAAGGCTCCCCTGAGCCGGCCCGACTACGGTCTGGAGGCGAGCCAGGAAAGGTAACAACGGTCACTGTGGGGGACGACGTCAACTCACTTATTAATGAAGCCGGCGACTAATGTGGTAAACTCCTCAATGTTATCGGATGAATCCCGGAACATATTCCAGTCTGTGCTGGCAAAACAGTCTGCTTCATCGGACCACTTCCGTATTGAGCGCGTCACTGGTACTTCCTGTTTGTGTTTTTGCTTGTAAGCAGGAAGCAGGAGGGTAGAGGATATGCTCTGATTTGCCAAGGGGAGGGCGAGGGAGGGCCTTGTCTGTGTGTGGAGTAAAGGGTAGAGGATAGGGATGGTCCCAGGTTGTCTGTGTGTGTGGAGTAAAGGTGATCTAGAGTTTTGTAACCTCTAGTTGCAGAAGTGACATGCTGGTAAAAATGAGGTAATACGGATTTCAGTTTCCCTACACTAAAATCACCGGCCACAAGAAACACCGGCTCTGAATGTGCATTTTCTTGTTTGCTTATGGCCCTATAAAGCTTGTTGAGTGCGGTCTTAGTGCCAGCATCAGTTTGTGGTGGTAAATTGACAGCTACGAAAAATCTAGATGAAAACTCTCTTGGTAAATAGTGTGGTCTGCAGCTTATCATGAGGTACTCTAACTCAGGCGAGCAGAACCTTGAGACTTCCTTAACATTAGAGATAGCGCACCAGCTTCTGTTAACAAAAAAACACACGCCTCCCCCTTAGTCTTACCCGAGTCTGCCGTGCGGTCTTCACGATGGATAGAAAACCAACGAGATGTATATTATCCATGTCCCATTCAGCCACGACTCGGAGAAACGGAGGATATTAGTTTTTCATGTCCCGTTGATAGGATAGTCTCGAACTGAGCTCGTCCAGTTTGTTGTCCAGTGACTGCATGTTCACCAATAGAACTTTGAAGTTCCAGGGAGTTGGTCCGGAGTAAGCAGAACGTCCACAGCTGCTGACTCGTTGAGGTAGAAATCTTCATCCAAATCGAGGTTAGCGATCGCTGCTCTGATGTCATAGGAAACAATGGTGGAGACGTTATGTACAAAAAAAAGTTACGATCAGCGTAAAAAAAAACACACAAAATAGCAGTGGGCCGTAAGACAGCAGCTATCCACTGCAGCGCCATCTTTCATCCCAAACATATGTGCAGCTTATGCTCCTCCTTCAGATTCATCTGATGATGATCCGTTTTTTTTCTCAATACAGAAATGATTCAATTTCAGGCAGAGGGTAAAGTGCTTCTTTGTGGAGATTTCAATTCGAGAGCAGGTTCTGAGCCTGACTACACTGACGCGGGAGGTAACCCCTCCATGTTCACCCCTCCACAACACCTCTCCCTTCCCTCCTGTCTCTATAGACCACATGTCTCTGCGTGTGTCTGTGATGTTCGGAGACGTGACCATCTCTAGCAGTGACATCATCTTCTATGACTGTCGAGCTGTGGGACGACTCAACACCACCTCCCCGTAAGATATAGCACACACACACACCGTACACACACATACACACACACCGTACACACACATACACACACACCGTACACACACTCACACACACACACCACACACACACACATACCACACAACCGTACACACACACACACACCGTTACACACACACACACACCGTACACACACACACAACCGTACACACACACACCGTACACACACACACAACACACACACCGTACACACACACACACACACCGTACACACACACACACACCGTACACACACACCGTACACACACACACACACACCGTACACACACACACACACACACACACCGTACACACACACACACACACACACACCGTACACACACACACACCGTACAATATTTATGCATTATCATGATGATACTTTGCTTCTTCCCTTTAAAGAAAAATTCCACAATCTCTATTTTGGTGTTTCATTATTGTTGATATAGGGTTCCAAATATTTTGCATGTCAGCACTCACGTTTTCAAGAAGTACAGAAATACTGCCGGTATGGATTCATTTTCGCATCCTATGATGCTGCGTTTTGCATGATATGTTAGAGCCGTACAGTATCTAAATCCACATGTCTCTCTGTGCTAGGTGTATGGCGTGTGTGGGCAGTGTTTGGCCATATCCATATGTCTCTCTGTATTCTAGGTGTATGGCGTGTGTGGGCAGTGTGTGGCCATGTCACTGGTGTGCTCTGGATGAGCTGTGTTCCCACAACAACAGCTGCCCCAAGCAGCACACCATACACAACTCAGTGGTAAGACAACCCTAACCCTATCCACCAGGCCTAAGTAACAACTCACTGGTAAGACAACCCCTAACCCTATCCACCAGGCCTAAGTAACAACTCAGTGGTAAGATAACCCTAACCCTATCCACCAGGCCTAAGTAACAACTCAGTGGTAAGACAACCCTAACCCTATCCACCAGGCCTAGAGTAACATTGCACTGTCCTCTGCTCTTTGATTGAAAATGGATTCTTGTTTTCATAGCCTCTCCTTCTCTCCATTTTGTGACACTCCAAGCTGTAATATAATATTCTCCCTGCCACCACTAGGAGCAGCGGTAGGAGCCGCGGGTTCTCCATTTTGTGACACTCCAAGCTGTAATATAATATTCTCCCTGCCACCACTAGGAGCAGCGGTTGGAGCCGCGGGGTCCCAACTCTTGTCCCTTTGTGTGGGCTCTACAGAGTTCTCCTCTGGTCCCCGTGGGCTTCCTGTTTCCTGTTTTGGTACTGCTGGGCAGGAACCTGGACATGTTTCAGGTATGTTTTTCTATACATGTGGAAAATGATATAACGCACATCCAGGGTTAATAAGTAGATGTTGGAGATCAATGAACATGTTCATGAAACCTTTAGAATACTCTGTACACTGCCCTGTATGGCTTATCTAGTGGGTTTATTAAAACCGTCCGGTCTTTACTAATGATGCAGACATTAAGATAATAAAATGGGTACTGTGTTTGGAGATGAGACACTGTGTTTGTGTGTTGTCATCTTCAGGGGGAGGAGCAGTATGCGTGTGTGGTGGTCATTGTGGGGGAGGAGCTTAAACTGAACGCCACTCTGAAGAAAGACCCGGAAACCAAGACCTACACCTTCACCTGCTCTGCCCACCAGGTATTCACGACACAAACCCTGACACACACATGTGACTACATTTCCCAATTGAGTCGTATGAACCATTTCCAAGATTGTCTTTTTGTACATTTTATAAAAGAACAGACGCAGAGCTTCAAAATGGTAAAATCATACACTACAGTTCGGGGAAACATGGGAAAGTTATATTATACTTATTTGAAATGCGATAAACCTGTTATTCCACCTTGTAGACAAGCACCAGAAAATCCCCTTGACAGTTTTTCACACTTGCTCGAGAGCTCTTTTTTGAGTATGCCGATTCAGCATCATTCACACCCTCTTAAGCCTTAGCCCCACCCATCTCTTTAAGCGTTCACGTGAGGCCATTTGCTAAACTGAGTGATTAAGGTAGTGTAGTAAGTAGTAGCCTACAAGAAGGAAAATCTCCAGGTAAAAATACTTAATCTAGTCCGTGGCCTATATCCTATCATGTTGTTTTTCACATTGTCTCTGATAAACATACTATATATAAAATCAAACCAAATCAAACAACCTCCCAGACACATTTAGCTAAGTTTATGGGTCATGTAATCATTTAGCTAAGTTTATGGGTAATGTAATCATTTGGCTAAGTTTATGGGTCATGTAATCATTTGGCTAAGTTTATGGGTCATGTAATCATCACAGTGGAGTCTTTTGTTTAAACGTAGAATTTTGTCCATTTCCTTATTATCCTCTGCTACTACCGGACATTCCACTAAGGTCAAAACTCAGTCCACCTCTTCCGGGACAACAACACTGTTAATCTCCGTTTAATCCCAATCACTGTCTTCAGAAAACAACAATGCAATGTCTGGTTCAATGACAATGTTGTTGTTACCCAAGTCAAGGATTTCTTCATCATCTGATTAATTTTCAGAGTCAGAGAGAGTCAGCCAGTCGTCCTCCAGAAAATAGTTAGTCACAACATTCTCCCACTGATCTTTGTCGATAGCGGCAGTTAAAATCAGGCCAGCAATGTTGGTGAGAGCTGTAGCAACACATTTTACATTTACATTTTAGTCATTACAGTAACTTACAGTTAGTGAGTGCATACATTATTTATTTTTTATGCTGGCCCCCAGTGGGAATCGAACCCACAACCCTGGCGTTGCAAACGCCATGCTCTACCAACTAAGCTACCTCCCTGCCGGCCATTCCCTCCCCTACCCTGGACCAATTGTGCGCCGCACCATGGGTCTCCCGGTCGCGGCCGGCTACGACAGAGCCTGGATTCGAACCAGGATCTCTAGTGGCACAGCTAGCACTGCGATGCAGTGCCTTAGACCACTGCACCACTCGGGAGGTTAACAACTCAGTTGTCCATTGCTAAATCTGCAGTAAACTACTATTTAGGGAAGCCCCTCGTTATGTTATAGATAGTAGCCTGTGGCATGGCAGACCAATCAGGACTCATCTCTTGGCATGACCAGCCCCTACCATTATCTCAGCCAATCAAGGCTAGCCAAGAAGAATCCTTTCTCTGTGAGAAATAAACTAGGCTCGTAATTTAACATTTTTATTCATATTTACAGATCACCTACGAGTTTGTTATTAAGGCACATGAAAGTTCACATGTTCAAAAAACGATTAGAGACTCGAGTCTTCTTGGGTATGACGCTACAAGCTTGGCACACCTGTATTTAGGGAGTTTCTCCCATTCTTCTCTGCAGATCCTCTCAAGCTCTGTCAGGTTGGATGGGGAGTGTTGGTGCACAGCAATTTTCAGGTCTCTCCAGAGATGTTTGATCGGGGTTCAAGTCCGGGCTCTGGCTGGGCCACTCAAGGACATTCATAGACTTATCCCGAAGCCACTCCTGCATTGTCTTGGCTGTGTGCTTAGGGTCGTTGTCCTGTTGGAAGTTGAACCTTCGCCCTAGTCTGAGGTCCTGAGCGCTCTGGAGCAGGTTTTCATCAAGGATCTCTTTACTTTGCTCCTAGTCTGAGGTCCTAGTCTTTGCTCCTAGTCTGAGGTCCTGAGCGCTCTGGAGCAGGTTTTCATCAAGGATCTCTTTACTTTGCTCCGTTAATCTTTCCCTCGATCCTGACTAGTCTCCCAGTCCCAGCCGCTGAAGAACATCCCCACAGCATGATGCTGCCACCACCATGCTTCACCGTAGGGATGGTGCCAGGTTTCCTCCAGACGTGACGCTTGGCATTCATTGGTTTTATCATACCAGCAACTCTTGTTTCTCATGGTCTAAGAGTCCTTTAGGTGCCTTTTGGCAAACTCCATGCGGGCTGTCATGTGCCTTTTATTGAGGAGTGGCTTCCGTCTGGTCACTCTACCATAAAGGCCTGACTGGTGGAGTGCTGAAGAGATGGTTGTCCTTCTGGAAGGTTCTCCCATCTCCACAGAGGAACTCTAAAGCTCTTTCAGAGTGACCATCGGGTTCTTGGTCACCTCCCTGACCAAGGCCCTTCTCCCCCTATTGCTCAGTTTGGCCAGCGGCCAGCTCTAGGAAGAGTCTTGGTGGTTCCAAACTTCTTCTATTTAAGAATGATGGAGGTCAATGTGTTCTTGGGGACCTTCAATGCTGCAGAAATGTTTTGGTACCCTTCCCCAGATCTGTGCCTCGACACAATCCTGTCTCAGAGCTCTACGGACAATTCCTTCGATCTCATGGCTTGGTTTTTGCTCTGACATGCACTGTCAACTGTGGGACCTTATATAGACAGGTGTGTGCTTTTCCAAATGTCCATGTCCAATCAATTGAATTTACCACAGGTGGACTCCAATCAAGTTGTAGAAACATCTCAGGGATGATCAATGGAAACAGGATGCACCTGAGCTCCATATCAAGTCTCATAGCAAAGGGTCTGAATACTTATGTAAATAAGGTATTTCTGTATTTTCACCCAGCCGGACTGTTGGTCTGTCCCAAGAAATAGTAAAAAATAAAGAAAAACCCTTGAATGAGTAGGTGTGTCCAATATTTTGACTGGTAGTGTGTATATATAACATTTAGAAAATAACTTTCTGTACTTTTCAAGCTTTTCGAATATAAACTTTGTAAACATAGTTTGTTTGAGTACAAAAACCTGAATATGTATCTTTGATTGAACAAAATGTCTTAGTTTAAATGTGTTAGTTATTAAATGCATACAGTGCATTCGGAAAGTATTCAAACCCCTTGACTTTTTCCACATTTTGTTACGTTACAGCATTATTCTAAAGTGGATTAAATTATTGTTTTTCCCTCATCAATCTACACACAATACCCCATAATGACAAAGCGAAAACAGGTTTGTAACACTTTTTTTGGTTACTACATGATTCCATAGGCGTTATTTCATAGTTCTGATGTCTTCACTATTATTCTACAATGTAGAAAATAGTACAAATAAAGAAAACCCCTGGAATGAGTAGAATGTGTCCAAACCTTTGACTGGTACTGCATGTATACAGTATACATACACTGAGTGTACTGAACATTAAGGACACCTGCTCTTTCCATGACATGGACTGACCCAGCTATGATCCCTTACTGAACAGCCTCAATCCGTCGGGCCATGGACTCTACAAGGTGTCAAAAGCGTTCCACAGGGATGCTGACCCATGTTGACTCCAATGCTTCCCACAGTTGTGTCAAGTTGGCTGGACGTCCTTTGGGTGGTGGATCATTCTTGATACACAGACAGTTGAGCGTGAAAAACCCAGCAGCAGTTCTTGACACAAACTGGTGCACCTGGAATCTACTACCATACCCCGTTCAAGGCAACTAAACCTTTTGTCAATGGCATTGTCGTGACGTGACTTTCATTAATATGATGACTGTTATTTATCGAATCAACGAACTATGTTTAATTGTTACTCGATTTAAATTAATCATGTAACAGTTAACTTATTAGGAAGAAGTTGTTTATAGAATTACCATCTCCCGAATTAAACTCTAAAAGGTCTTTACCCTCAATATGTATAAAACAGTCAACGTATCAATCATTACTTCTTATCAGTCTCATTCTGAACGGTCGCAGACTTCTTGGATCTGCACGAACCCCAGCTTTGCTTATGATTCAGTACTACACAAATTGGTTTAATTATTTGTTTACTAGCTAACTAAATAATAACACAGAATAACATACACACTTATTACTTGAGAAAAAGTCCCTGGCGGACTAACAGCATGACTGCTTGGTTATCAAAAGAGGGAGGGGGAGAGAGAGAGACAAAGAGAGAGTAAAACTTATCGTTGATACATTTGGAAAACTACCCTCAAAGTAATCATAATACTCAAGAACCACCGTCCGTTTGGGGTAAGAAATCATGAATGTATTTACGTGTAGAATGTCTTCCTTCGTCGTTTATCTCTGTTGGACTCGAGCCTTCTTGGGAAAGGGTCAGTTGGTGTCCTGAGTCGGTGTAAGGCTCAGGTTGTCCACCAGAGGTCACAATGTCCTTCTTCTTAGTTGTCCTGGTCTTGTAGTGGAGTGTTTTCAGAGCAGATACTCGGACGCACCAATTATTGTCTGAGATTGGATTTTCTCCTTCCCCACCTCGTGTCTTTAGTCAGAGTTTGAAGCAACGTTCAGGTCCAGTCTGGTGAGTTGATCTTCTTCACTTGAGGTTCAAAGTTTCTAACCATTTCAAACGTGTTAGCCACCGCTCCACGCTTTCTGGTCTAATGTTAATTTCGTTACCAAGGATTTTTATGCACTCTGGTTAAAAGGGGCGTTCCAACTTGCTGACACGTTCTCCGAGCTCACTTCGGGCGTGGCTACTGACTGGTGCAAAGCTTATATGAAAACGATGATCTCGTTAGAAAACTAAAATCACATTCCTATCTTAACAAAAATACTCTCATTATGAATCATATATCTTACAACATTTGGATGTAGACTTGACAGAGTGTGTATACTTTCCAAGTTACAATTTATTGATACCATTCTTAACCAAACATTTGGATGTTAGAAATATTGTTCCAGTGTTTACTTTTTTGGACGTTATAGTTTTGGCGGTAAAAGTATTCCGTAGACAAAGGGGATTCCTTTAGTAATACTGAAGAGCAAGAGGGAGATTCCCCTCCTACCTATTTTATGATAGAGTGTTAAGGTGTCAAAATCGAATTGAAAACATTATTGGCATTGTTGAATTCCATTTTCATAATGGCTGATTAGGACTGATGGTCTGTTTGTTAGGTTACCACGGCAACTACTGTAGCTATCTAGTAAACTTGCTAGCTACTTCAGCGGATGTTGAACACATTTCTACCACCAAATGAACACATTTCTACCACCAAATGAACACATTTCTACCACCAAATGAACACATTTCTACCACCAAATGTGTTAAATTATAGCCGTGGTATAAAAGGGATAATCAACTCAGGGCTCTATGCATTCTCTGGAAAATAATGCAACTCTGTTAGCACAACGTGGAACACGCCTTCCACATCGTTCATTATGTTCCAAAGAACGCATAGCCCCTCGTTGATTATCCCTTAGATATTATACAGATACAGTGGGGAGAACAAGTATTTGATACACTGCCGATTTTGCAGGTTTTCCTACTTATAAAGCATGTAGAGGTCTGTAATTTTTTATCATAGGTACACTTCAACTGTGAGAGACGGAATCTAAAACAAAAATCCAGAAAATCACATTGTATGATTTTTAAGTAATTAATTTGCATTTTATTGCATGACATAAGTATTTGATACATCAGAAAAGCAGAACTTAATATTTGGTACAGAAACCTTTGTTTGCAATTACAGAGATCATACGTTTCCTGTAGGTCTTGACCAGGTTTGCACACACTGCAGCAGGGATTTTGGCCCACTCCTCCATACAGACCTTCTCCAGATCCTTCAGGTTTCGGGGCTGTCGCTGGGCAAAACGGACTTTCAGCTCCCTCCAAAGATTTTCTATTGGGTTCACGTCTGGAGACTGGCTAGGCCACTCTAGGACCTTGAGATGCTTCTTACGGAGCCACTCCTTAGTTGCACTGGCTGTGTGTTTCGGGTCGTTGTCATGCTGGAAGACCCAGCCACAACCCATCTTCAATGCTCTTACTGAGAGAAGGAGGTTGTTGGCCAAGATCTCGCGATACATGGCCCCATCCATCCTCCCCTCAATACGGTGCAGTCGTCCTGTCCCTTTTACAGAAAAGCATCCCCAAAGAATGATGTTTCCACCTCCTTGCTTCACGGTTGGGATGGTGTTCTTGGGGTTGTACTCATCCTTCTTCTTCCTGTAAACACGGCGAGTGGAGTTTAGACCAAAAAGCTCTATTTTTGTCTCATCAGACCACATGACCTTCTCCCATTCCTCCTCTGGATCATCCAGATGGTCATTGGCAAACTTCAGATGGGCCTGGACATGCGCTGGTTTGAGCAGGGGGACCTTGCGTGCGCTGCAGGATTTTAATCCATGACGGCGTAGTGTGTTACTAATGGTTTTCTTTGAGACTGTGGTCCCAGCTCTCTTCAGGTCATTGACCAGGTCCTGCCGTGTAGTTCTGGGCTGATCCCTCACCTTCCTCATGATCATTGATGCCCCACGAGGTGAGATCTTGCATGGAGCCCCAGACCGAGGGTGATTGACCGTCATCTTGAACTTCTTCCATTTTCTAATAATTGCGCCAACAGTTGTTGCCTTCTCACCAAGCTGCTTGCCTATTGTCCTGTAGCCCATCCCAGCCTTGTGCAGGTCTACAATTTTATCCCTGATGTCCTTACACAGCTCTCTGGTCTTGGCCATTGTGGAGAGGTTGGAGTCTGTTTGATTGAGTGTGTGGACAGGTGTCTTTTATACAGGTAACGAGTTCAAACAGGTGCAGTTAATACAGGTAATGAGTGGAGAACAGGAGGGCTTCTTAAAGAAAAACTAACAGGTCTGTGAGAGCTGGAATTCTTACTGGTTGGTAGGTGATCAAATACTTATGTCATGCAATAAAATGCAAATTAATTACTTAAAAATCATACAATGTGATTTTCTGGATTTTTGTTTTAGATTCCGTCTCTCACAGTTGAAGTGTACATATGATAAAAATTACAGGCCTCTACATGCTTTGTAAGTAGGAAAACCTGCAAAATCGGCAGCGTATCAAATACTTGTTCTCCCCACTGTATATTATAATAGAACGCATAGCCCCTCGTTGATTATCCCTTACATATACTTTGAATAATCTGAACATTCCACAACATTGTGTCTTACAAATATGGTATGACTTTATATTAAACAATGTTATAACAATGAAACTATATCAAGTGCTCCTCTCTTCTCCTCTCCCCCCTCCTCTCTCTGCCCTCACCTCTCCCTCCTCTCTCCCCTCTCTGTCCTCCTCCCCTCTCCCCTCCTCTCTCCCCTCCTCTCTCCCCTCCTCTCTCCCCTCTCCCCTCCTCTCTCCCCTCTCCTCTGCTCTGCTCTGCTCTGCTCTCCTCTCCTCTCCTCTCCTCTTTTCTCCTCTACTCTCCTCTCCTCTTGTCTCCTTTCCTCACCTCACCTCTCCTCTCCTCTCCTCTCCTCTCCTCTCCTCTCCTCTCCTCTCCTCTCCTCCCCTCCCCCTCTCCCCTCCTCTCTCCCCTCTCCCCTCCTCTCTCCCCCTCCCCTCTCCCCTCCTCTCTCCTCCTCTCTCCCCTCCCCTCTCTCCCCTCCTCTCTCCCCTCTCCTCTGCTCTCCTCTCCTCTCCTCTCCTCTCCTCTCCTCTCCTCTCCTCTCCTCTCCTCTCCTCTCCTCTCCTCTCCTCTTTTCTCCTCTACTCTCCTCTCCCTCTTGTCTCCTCTCCTCACCTCTCCTCTCTCCTCCTGTCCTCTCCCCTCCCATCATTCCTCTCCTCTCCTCTCCTCTCCCTCCTCCTCTCCTCTCCTCTCCTCTCCTCTCCTCTTCTCCCCTCCTCCTCTCCCCTCCCCTCCTCCCCTCCTCTCTCTCCCCTCCCTCTCTCCTCCTCTCTCTTCCCCTCCCCTCTCCTCTCTCCCCTCCTCTCTCCTCCTCTCTCTCTCTCTCCTCCTCGTCTCTCTCTCTCTCTCTCTCTCTCTCTCTCTCCTCTCTCTCTCCCCTCCTCTCTCTCCCCTCCTCTCTCTCCCCTCCTCTCTCTCCCCCCCTTCCCCTCTCTCCCCTCTCTCTCCCCTCCTCTCTCCCCTCCTCTCCCCTCTCTCTCCCCTCCTCTCTCCCCTCCTCTCTCAGTTCCAGTACCCTTTGAATCAGTTGGAGTACTCTGCTCCCATCTATCTACAAAGAGGTTCCCATCGCATCGACTCTGCTCCCAACCTCAGATGTAAGACTTCTCTGTTGTATTCACTTTGTCCTGCTATCACTTGAGAAGGAAGACAATTAATATTCAACAGCTCTTGGAGTACAATGAAAGTGGACTTCAAAAATAGGACATTGGAGCGTAACCGGTGTGTTGTCCCACAGTGCAGCTACATTGGAGCGTAACCGGTGTGTTGTCCCACAGTGCAGCTATATTGGAGCGTAACCGGTGTGTTGTCCCACAGTGCAGCTATATTGGAGCGTAACCGGTGTGTTGTCCCACAGTGCAGCTATATGACTGTTCGGTGGGCCAGTCCGACTGTAGCCAGTGCAGAGCGGTGTCTTCACGGTACGGCTGTGTCTGGTGTGGTGGGGAGTCACCCGGCTGTGTCTACAACCTCTCCTGTACCAGCTCACCTGGGCCGGCTGACACCTGTCCCTCGCCTCAGATCACACAGGTACACACATTTCTCTGACCACCGCTGTCGTATGCCTGGGGTTCAGGGACGTATTTATAAAGTGTCTCAGAGAATAAGTGTTGTTCTAGAAGTTCCCGTGTAGCTCAGTTGGTAGAGCATGGCGCTTGCAACGCCAGGGTTGTGGGTTCGTTTCCCACGGGGGGCCAGTATGAAAAATGTATGCACTCACTAACTGTAAGTCGCTCTGGATAAGAGCGTCTGCTAAATGACTAAAATTTAAAATGTAAATTTACATTTTAGTCATTTAGCAGACGCTCTTATCCAGAGCGACTTACAGTTAGTGAATGCATAAATTTTTTCCTACCCCCTGTGGGAATCGAACCCACAACCCTGGCGTTACAAACGCCATGCTCTATCAACTGAGCTACATCCCTGCCGGACATTCCCTCCCCTACCCTGGACGACGCTGGGCCAATTGTGCGCCGCCCCATGGGTCTCCCGGTCGCGGCCGGCTACGACAGAGCCTGGATTTGAACCAGGATCTCTAGTGGCACAGCTAGCACTGCGATGCAGTGTCTTAAACCACTGCGCCACTCGGGATGAATGTAGAATCAGGTTCATTATGATCTGAGATGCTTTGTGAATAATGATCTTCCAATAAAGCTTTTAGTGATACAAAAACAACATTGAGACTGAAGTTACAAAAACAACATTGAGACTGAAGTTACAAAAACAACATTGAGACTGAAGTTACAAAAAACAACATTGAGACTGAAGTTACAAAAACAACATTGAGACTGAAGTTACAAAAACAACATTGAGACTGAAGTTACAAAAACAACATTGAGACTGAAGTTACAAAAACAACATTGAGACTGAAGTTACAAAAACAACATTGAGACTGAAGTTACAAAAACAACATTCAGACTGAAGTTACAAAAACAACATTCAGACTGAAGTTACAAAAACAACATTGAGACTGAAGTTACAAAAACAACATTGAGACTGAAGTTACAAAAACAACATTGAGACTGAAGTTACAAAAACAACATTGAGACTGAAGTTACAAAAACAACATTGAGACTGAAGTTACAAAAACAACATTGAGACTAAAGTTACAAAAACAACATTGAGACTGAAGTGACAAAAACAACATTGAGACTGAAGTTTGTCTAACTCCTATACCATGTTGTTTTTGTATATTAGTAAACCCCTTTTCTGTCCTGTTCTGTCCTCTCCTGTTCTGTTCTGTCCTGTTCTGTCCTGTCCTCTCCTGTTCTGTCCTCTCCTGTTCTGTTCTGTCCTGTTCTGTCCTGTCCTCTCCTGTTCTGTCCTCTCCTGTTCTGTCCTGTTCTGTCCTGTTCTGTCCTCTCCTGTTCTGTTCTGTCCTGTTCTGTCCTGTCCTCTCCTGTTCTGTCCTCTCCTGTTCTGTTCTGTCCTGTTCTGTCCTGTCCTCTCCTGTTCTGTCCTCTCCTGTTCTGTCCTGTTCTGTCCTCTCCTGTCCTGTCCTCTCTTCTCCTCTCCTCTCCTGTTCTGTCCTGTCCTCTCCTGTTCTGTCCTCTCCTGTTCTGTCCTCTCCTGTTCTGTCCTGTTCTGTCCTGTTCTGTCCTCTCCTCTCCTGTTCTGTTCTGTCCCTGTCAGATCCAGCCATTGAGTGGTCCGGTGGAGGGAGGAGTTCTGGTCACCATCCATGGGTCCAACCTGGGGATGCACTACCAAGACATCCAGGGAGGAGTGACTGTAGCTGGGGTCAGCTGCCTGCCTCAGCCCCATGGATACCTCATCTCAACCAGGTAATTACACTGTGTGTGTGTGTGTGTGTGTGTGTGTGTGTGTGTGTGTCTGTCTGTGTGCATGTGTTTGAAGCTGAGGTCCCCATTTAGCAGTTTTTTCTGACGTCCCCACTTTTCACATAAACCTGTCTATGTGTGTGATTTCTGTGTATGTGTGTGTGAAGTCCTTATTTTACTGATGTCACCACTTTTAACATAAACTTGTGTGAAAAGCATTGCAGGCCTTAAAGGGATATATCGGGATTTTGGCAAGGAGGCCCTTTATCTACTTCCCCAGAGTTAGCATGCTAGCAGATACCCATGGACTTCCAGTCATTGTGCTAACGCTAGTTAGCATTGGCTCGCAAAACTACCTCTTACTACTGGACACAGAGACATAAAAATGGTATTCATGAGTTCATTTGACTCTGGGGAATTAAAGGGCCTAATTGCCAAAAGAAAACCCCCAAAGTATCCCCTTAATGCTCAAATCAGTTTTGTTTTTCAAATCCATTTTGGAATATTGACTGTCCAAACAGCATGTTGCAAGTGACCAAATCGGGTTTGTGTGAGTTCAGACAGCAGTCATTTCCTGACATGGTTACGCTAGTTGTCATAGTAACGACAGGTGGGTGTGAAGTGGTGTAGGCTGATTGGTGGTGGTGCTCGTGCTTCCTGTCACTCCGAAGTTATGTAGCAAGCTAAGGTGACAACAATGCCTGCCATGGGCGTTTCCCAGCTGCTTTGAATGATCTAAATCATAGTGTAAGAACACTTTTAAAACCTCAAAGGATAAGATGATCCAACTTTCAAAAAAAGTCATTTTTGTCTAGCCACAGGAGTCAACTGGCTAGCTACTGAAGGTAGCTGGTTAGCGTTCTAAGACATTCACTAATTTGTTTGTAAACAATTAACAAGCTAGTTAGCTACCACACGTTCTCGTCAAACAGTCAACAGAGTAGCTAGCAAGAAACAAGATATGCCCAATAACAGCCTAAAAACCACTTGAGGGCAATTAAATCAAAATTGACCATTCAGACACAAGTCGCATGGCCAGGAATACGATTTCTATCGGACTTCAAACCACCTACGAAGGTGGTTTGAAATGTGGGTTGAAATATCCGATTCCATGTGCTTTTTGGCTGTTCAGACTGCAGGAAAAATAACAGGTTATTCCCAAAAAATTGGATTTGAGTCACTTCAAACGTGAACTTAAGGTCAGCTCTGTGTTTGTGTTTGTTTTTCCTGTGTGTTTCAGGATAGTGTGTGTACTGTACGCTAATTGTCTGGTCGTGTGTGTGTGTGTGTGTGTGTGTGTGTGTGTGTGTGTGTGTGTTCCAGGATAGTGTGTGAGCTCCAGCCCAGTAAACAGGAGACAGAGGGACCAGTCGTCGTTACCGTGGGAGACTCAGAACCAGGACAGTCACTGCAGACATTCACCTACCAGGTACTCACTCACTCACTCACTCACTCACTCACTCACTCACTCACTCACTCACTCACTCACTCATACACTCACTCACTCACTCACTCACTCACACACTCACACACTCACTCACTCACTCACTCACACACTCACACACTCACTCACTCACTCACTCACTCACTCACTCACTCACACACTCACACACTCACTCACTCACTCACTCACTCACTCACTCACTCACTCACTCACTCACTCACTCACTCCTCACTCACTCACTCTCTCACTCACTTCTCTGGCTTGAAAAACCCTGTGTTATCCTGGAGCACGAGTACAGGACATTACAAGACTGCTTTCCTGACGTTTTACGACAGCTGCCGGGAGCTGACACTGTCGTAGTCCATGTGGGGTCAAACGACATCAGGAGGGCTAGCTCGGAACTGCTGAAAAATGGATTTTAAAGAACTGATTCTAGCTCTGAAAGATTCCAAAAAGCGGCCAATTATTTCAGGCTCGGTACCATCGCTGGGCCGCGGCTGCTAAACGTTTAGCAGGCTACTCAAGTCAAATCTAATTGTATTTGTCACATGTGTAGACCTTTCCATGAAATTATACTTACATGCCCTTAACCAACAATGCAGTTTTAAGAAAAATAAGAGTTTATTTTGTAAATATTTTAAGTTAAAAAAAAAAAAAAGTTACACAATAAAATAACAATAACAAGGGTATTTATACAGGGGGTGCTGGTACCGAGTCAGTGCGGGGGTACAAGTTTGTCGAGGTAATTGAGGGAGTGTATACACTACCAGTCAAAAGATTGGACACACCTACTCATTCAAGGATTTTTTTTTATTTTTTACTATTTTCTACAATGTAGAACAATAGTGAAGACATCAAAACTATGAAATATTACACATATGGAATCATTTAGTAACCAAAAAAGTGTTAAACAAATCAAAATATATTTTAGATTTTAGATTCTTCAAAGTAGCCACCCTTTGCCTTGATGACAGCTTTGTTGGGTTGAGGTTGGGTGATTGTGGAGGCCAGGTCATCTGATGCAGCACTCCATCACTCTCCTTCTTGGTCAAATAGCCCTTACACAGCCTGGAGGTGTGTTGGGTCATTGTCCTGTTGAAAAACAAATGATAGTCCCACTAAGCCCAAACCAGATGGGATGGTGTATCGCTGCAGAATGCTGTGGTAGCCATGCTGATTAAGTGTGCCTTGAATTATAAATAAATCACAGACAGTGTCACCAGCAAAGCACCCCCACACCATCACACCTCCTTCTCCATGCTTCACGGTGGGAACCACACATGCAGAGATCATCCGTTCACCTACTCTGCATCTCACAAAGACATGGCGGTTGGAACCAAAAATCTCAAATTTGGACTCATCAGACCAAAGGACAGATTTCCACCGGTCTAATGTCCATTGCTCGTGTTCCTTGGCCCAAGTAAGTCTCTTCTTGTAATTGGTGTCCTTTATTAGTGGTTTCTTTGCAGCAATTCGACCATGAAGGCCTGATTCACACAGTCTCCTCTGAACAGTTGATGTTGAGATGTGTCTGTTACTTGAACTCTGTGAAGCATTTACTTGGGCTGCAATTTCTGAGGCTGGTAACTCTAATGAACGTATCCTCTGCAGCAGAGGTAATTCTGGGTCTTCCTTTCATGTGGCGGTCCTCATGAGAGCCAATTTCATCATAGCGCTTGATGGTTTTTGCGAGTGCAATTGAAGAAACTTTCAAAGTTCTTGAAATGTTCCGGGTTGACTGACCTTCATGTCTTAAAGTAATGATGGACTGTCATTTCTCTTTGCTTATTTGAGCTGTTCTTGCCATAATATGGACTTGGTCTTTTACCAAATAGGGCTATCTTCTGTATACCACACCTACCTTGTCACAACACAACTGATTGGCTCAAACGCATTAAGAAGGAAAGAAATTCCACAAATGAACTTTTAAAAAGGCACACCTGTTAATTGAAATGCATTCCAGGTGACTACCTCATGAAGCTGGTTGAGAGAATGCCAAGAGTGTGCAAAGCTGTCATCAAGGCAAAGGGTGGCTATTTGAAGAATCTCAAATATAAAATATATTATTTATTTTTTAAAGTTATAATTTTTGTTGAGACTAAGATTTTCACTGTACCCTGCAATCACACCTGCAACCCTGCACATGTGACTATTAAACACTGATTCTGCCCCCCAGTTGACTGGTATAGTCCCTGATAAGGGTCCTGTATGAGGAGGGACCACCCTGACCGTCTAGAGTTATAGTTTGGGTTAGATACTACAGTATAACCATGTCTCTCTGTGTATAGGACCCCCAGTTGACTGGTATAGTCCCTGATAAGGGTCCTGTATGAGGAGGGACCACCCTGACCGTCTAGAGTTATAGTTTGGGTTAGATACTACAGTATAACCATGTCTCTCTGTGTATAGGACCCCCAGTTGACTGGTATAGTCCCTGATAAGGGCCCTCTATCAGGAGGGACCACCCTGACCGTCCAGGGGACTCGGCTGCTAACGGGACAGAGGAAGGACCTGACTGCATACGTAGGACAACAACCCTGCTACATGTAAATACCTCTACTATTACTTCTTTAGCTGTCTCTCTCTCGCTCGCTCTCTGTGTCGGTGTCCCCCCCCCCCCCCATCCCCCCCCCCTTTCACACACCCACACATAAAATCTGCACGTGTTTTGGGGGGTGAAGGGACCCAGTTTTGGGGGTAGGGGGCCCCCCTAGTAACCAGCAGCACCTAAAATCCCTTTTCTCCTCTTTTTCCCTCCCCCCCCCCCGGGGTCAAAAAAAAAAAAACCCCCACCCTTCCCTTTTCCCCCTTTCTTCTCCCCTTTCTCTTTTCCCCCCCCCTTTTTTCTCTCCCCTATTCCCCTTTTACTCCTCTTCTCTCTTTTCTTCTTCTCTCTCCCCCTTTTCTCTTTTCCAGTGTTTAGGAGGGGGAAGAGACCCCCTGGTAGCAGGACCAGCCCCCGAACCAAAAGCGAGCTGACATGCGGGTGTTTTTTGGGGAAGGGAGAGAGGAGCGTACCTGGCCAGGTGTTTCGCTACATGGAGGACCCCGTCATCACCAAGGCCTTTCCTGCTGAGAGCTTCTACGAGTGAGGAACACTGGAACCCTATTCCCTATACACCCTGGTCAAAAGTAGGGGACACATGGGAATAGGGCAGTATGTAGGGGTAGGGGAGTTATGGGCGGGATTAGGGAAAAAGGGCCTACATAGGGAAGTATGTAGGGAATAGGGTAGTATATAGGGAATAGGGACTAAGGGAAAAGGGCACTACATAGGGAATAGGGTGTTATAGGGGGAATAGGCACTACATAGGGAAAAGGGGGGGTATTAAATTTTTAAATAGGGCAGTTAAGGGCGGGTAGTAGGGAAAAAGGGCAGTAATAGGGAAGTAGTAGGGAAAAGGGTAGTATATGGAAAGGCACTAATAGGGAAGGGGTAATAGGGAATAGGGCGGTATATAGGGAATAGGGCAGTATATAGGGCGGTATGTAGGGAATAGGGCAGTACATAGGGAAGTATGTAGGGAATAGGGCAGTATATAGGGAATAGGGCAGTATTTAGGGAATAGGGGAATACATAGGGAATGGCAAAATACATAGGGGGAATAGGGGGGTTATAGGGAATAGGGGGACATAGGGGAAATATGTAGGAAAAGGGCAAATATATAGGGAATGGGAAGATATAGGGGGAAAAGGGATAATAGGGAAAAGGGAGCATAGGGAATAGGGCACTACATAGGGAATAGGGCACTACATAGGGAAGTAAGTAGGGAATAGGGCAGTATATAGGGAAGTTTGTAGGGAATAGGGCAGTATATAGGGAATAGGGCACTACATAGGGAATAGGGCAGTACATAGGGAATAGGGAAGTATGTGGGGAATAGGGCAGTATATAGGGAATATGGCAGTATAAAGGGAATAGGGCAGTATAAAGGGAATAGGGCATTAAAATGGCGGAAGTAGGAAAAAGGGGGGTATATGGGGGAATAGGGATATATGGGAATAGGGCCGTCATAGGGAATAGGGCAGTACAAAGGGAATAGGGCAGTATATAGGGCGGTATGTAGGGAAAAGGGGGTAATGGGAAAGGGCAGTAGTAGGGGAAAAGGGCAGTAATAGGGAATGGGTTTTAAAATAGGGAATAGGGCAAATTAAGGGAATAGGGCAGTATATAGGGGAAAATGGCACATGTAGGGAATAGGGCACTACAAGGGAAAGGGAATAGGGGGGCACTACATAGGGGTAGGGCGATTAGGGAATTTGGGAGTATATAGGGAAAAGGGGCAGTATGTGGGAATAGGGCAGGATATGGGAATAGGCAGTTAAAAGGGGAAAAGGGGGAGTAGTAGGGAAAAGGGCAGATATAGGGTAGGGGACTACTGGGGAATAGGGCAGTTATGGGATAGGGGAGTATATAGGGAATAGGGCGTTTTAGGGAATGGGATACATGGGGAAAAGGGGGTATATGGGAAAAGGGGAGTATATAGGGAAAAGGGCACAATGGGAATAGGGCGTATATGGGGGAAAAGGGGGAGATATAGGAATAGGGCACTACATAGGGAATAGGGACTACGTGGGAATAGGGGGCAGTAATAAAAGGGCCGTAAATGGGAATAGGGAGTTAATAGGGTAGGGAGTATTAGGGGAAAGGGGGATAATAGGGAAAGTAAATAATAGGGAAAGGGCACTATGAGGGAAAAAAAAGGGCAGTAATAGGGTGCACTTTAATGCAAATATGCTGAGTACAAAAATTTTAAAATATACGTGATTCGGAAAGTATTCAAACCCCTTAACTTTTTCCACATTTTGTTACGTTACAGCCTTATTCTACAATTGATTACATAAATTTTTCCCTCATCAATCTACACACAATACCCCATAATGACAAAGCGAAAACAGGTTTGTAGAAATTTTTGCAAAATTTATTAAAAATAAAAAACAGAAATACCTTGATTTACATAAGTATTCAGACCCTTTGCTATGAGACTAAAAATTGAGCTCAGGTGCATCCTGTTTCCATTGATCATCCTTGAGATGTTTCTACAACTTGATTGGAGTCCACTTGTGGTAAATTCAATTGATTGGACATGATTTGGAAAGGCACACACCTGTCTATATAAGGTCATACAGTTGTAGTCCCCTGTAGCTCAGTTGGTAGAGCATGGCGCTTGCAACGCCAGGGTTGTGGGTTCGTTTCCCACGGGGGGCCAGTATGAAAAATGTATGCCCTCACTAACTGTAAGTCACTCTGGATAAGAGCGTCTGCTAAATGACTAAATGTAAATGTTGACAGTGCATGTCAGAGCAAAAACCAAGCCATTAGGTCGAAGGAATTGTCAATAGAGCTCAGAGACAATAGAGGGTACCAAAACATTTCTGCAGCATTGAAGGTCCCCAAGAACACAGTGGCCTCCATCATTCTTAAATGGAAGAAGTTTGGAACCACCAAGACTCTTCCTAGAGCTGGCCGCCCGGCCAAACTGAGCAAGCGGGGGAGAAGGACCTTGGTTAGGGAGGTGACCAAGAACCTGATGGTCACTCTGACAGAGCTCCAGAGTTCCTCTGTGGAAATGGGAGAACCTTCCAGAAGGACAACCATCTCTGCAGCACTCCACCAATCAGGCCTTATGGTAGAGTGGCCAGACGGAAGCCACTCCTCAGTAAAAGGCAACATGACAGCCCGCTTGGAGTTTGCCAAAAGGCACCTAAAGGACTCTCATACCATGAGAAACCATTTCTCTGGTCTGATGAAACCAAGATTGAACTCTTTGGCCTAATGCCAAGTGTCATGTCTGGAGGAAACCTGGCACCATCCCTACGGTGAAGCATGGTGGTGGCAGCATCATGCTGTGGGGATGTTTTCCAGCGGCAGGGACTGGGAGACTAGTCAGGATCGAGGGAAAGATGAACGGAGCAAAGTACAGAGAGATCCTTGATGAAAACCTGCTCCAGAGCACTCAGGACCTCAGACTGGGGCGAAGGTTCACCTTCCAACAGGACAACGACCCTAAGCACACAGCCAAGACAACGCAGGAGTGGCTTCGGGACAAGTCTGTGAATGTCCTTGAGTGGCCCAGCCAGAGCCCGGACTTGACCCTGATTGAACAACTCTGGAGAGACCTGAAAATAGCTGTGCAGCAACGCTCCCCATCCAACCTGACAGAGCTTGAGAGGATCTGCAGAGAAGAATGGGAGAAACTCCCCAAATACAGGTGTGCCAAGCTTGTAGCGTCATACCCAAGAAGACTCGAGGCTGTAATCGCTGCCAAAGGTGCTTCAACAAAGTACTGAGTAAAGGGTCTGAATACTTATGGAAATGTGATATTTCAGTTTTTTTATTTCTAGTATATTTGCAAAAATTTGTAAAAACCTGTTTTTGCTTTGTCATTATGGGGTATTGTGTGTAGATTGATGAGTGAAAAACACAATTTAATCCACTTTAGAATAAGGCTGTAACTTATCCGAATGCACTGTAGGTCTGTTAGTCAATCTAAACCACATAACCTGTAGGTCAATCTAAACCACATAACCTGTAGGTCAATCTAAACCAGATAACCTGTAGGTCAATCTAAACCAGATAACCTGTAGGTCAATCTAAACCAGATAACCTGTAGGTCAATCTAAACCACATAACCTGTAGGTCAATCTAAACCACATAACCTGTAGGTCAATCTAAAACCAGCATAACCAATAACCTGTAGGTCAATCTAAACCAGATAACCTGTAGGTCAATCTAACCAGATAACCTGTAGGTCAATCTAAACCAGATAACCTGTAGGTCAATCTAACCAGATAACCTGTAGGCAATCTAAACCAGATAACCTGTAGGTCAAACTAAACCAGATAACCTGTAGGTCAATCTAAACCAGATAACCGTAGGTCAATCTAAACCAGATAACTGTAGGGCAATCTAAACCAGATAACCTGTAGGTCAATCTAAACCAGATAACCCTTTGGTCAATCTAAAACCCGATAACCTGTAGGTCAATCTAAACCAATAAAACCCGTAGGGCAATCTAAACCACATAACCTGTAGGTCAATCTAAACCACATAACCTGTAGGTCAATCTAAACCAATAAACCCGTTTGGTCAATCTAAACCAGATAACCGTAAGGGCAATCTAAACCATAACCTGAGTCAAACTAAACCCGATAACTGTAGGGCAATTCAAACCAGATAACCTGTAGGTCTCTAACCAGATAACCTGTAGGGGCAATCTAAACCAGATAACCTG